TAGAACCATTTCAATTTATATATTTGTCACAATATGAGGAAAATGGACAATGTTAACTTTCAACATTAATGAAAACAAACATGCCAACATTAAAGTGCATTTTAAACTTTTGTAAGACCTACTGAACATCTTCACATGTTCTTTAGTAATTGTAATTTAATGTCTTTATATGGTTAACCTACAGAGAAGCAATTTTGGTAAATTCCAAAAATATAATAAAATGTCATTTTTATTTAAATAAATGTCATATATTTAAAAAATAGTTCTACAATTCTGCATTTTTAATGCTAAATTTGCTGTTAGAACAATAAAAAAAGTATTACCTTAAAATGTACACTATAAAATATTCAGTAACTAACAGATGCCTGTAGCTCATCACTAGGCCCACATGGAATCTGCGCGTGCAGAAATCCACAGATTTTAGCCCATCATTGAGATTATGTATTTACTTGTGTAAATGTGTGTCAATTTATATTGATTCAGTTTTAAAATTAATTTCACTAATATTGTTGTGATATAATAGTAATATTCAAATATTGATATGATTTATTTACAATACAGTTTGTAATACATATTTTCTGTCTTTTAATAGATTTATTATAGACATTTGCTTTGTTTATCAAATAAGTGTATCTAATTGGAATTGACTTGTAAACATTAAATACAAGTTGTATTATGTTATAATACTCCTAATATATAAGATTTTAGTTATAATACTCCTAAAATCATTCCAAACAAATCTGCAGATTTTTTAACAAATTCTCTGCAAAAATAACAAAAAAATGTTTGCAGATTGTCTGGCCATACTTATCACTTAAACAAAATGACGTTTGCTGTTCAAACTACTTATTTAAAATTAGCTGAAACAAGTTTTTTTATTTGGACAACTTAATGCTTTATTTTGAAATCTGCTTATATTTGTAAAAAGTAAGCTAATCCCTTCATGTTGTCCCATTACAAATCTATTGTGTGGAACCCAGAATTATTTACAGTGATGATTCATGGTGGTTTTCTGTTTGTTTAAGCTTTTGAATTGCACCATGATCTCTCCTCAGACTACTCAAAGTGTAAATTTTATACTGTCTTAGTTTGTCATAAATTACTGCACATAACCTGTAGTAGTAAGCTGTCATTACATTTTTATATAGTTTAGGTTCTGTGTACATTATTAAAATGAAAACTATGAAATATATCAAGTATGAAACATAAATATATTTATAATAAAAACGATTTGTCATTATTATAAACTAGCTACTCTTTTTAACGTGTCCTTATGTGTGTGTTACAAGTCATGAAAGTGTATAGTGTAAACACTTTTTTTATTATTATTATTAATCTATCTGCATAATCAACACTATGAACAGCAGCTACACTAATTATTTTCTTTATTCTCCATTTCCACCAGGGGATACTCTGGTGACAGCTCTGCAGTCTAGAAGTTTGGCCAGAGAAGTGGTCATACCCAACTGAGCCTGATTTTTCTCAAGGTTTTTTCCTTCACTTTTGTCAATTGGTGAAGTTTTGTTCTCTCAACTGTCACCACTGGCTTGCTTGGTTTGGGATTTGTAAAGCTGCACATCGATATTTTGGTCTTCAGTGTTTGAACTTTCAGCTGTGAAATTAAAACCAAGCTGAATTAAACTAAACTGAAATTCAACTCTGAAAACTGGACTGTCACAGTTTCAATTTATTAAAACTGCTATGTTAAGCTGATTTGACACAATCTACATTGTAAAAACGCTATTAAAAATAAAGATGAATTGAACTGAATGATCAAATAAATTTGGTTTGAAAATAATACCATGTGGATGTGTTTTTATATTTATGTCGTATAATCAAGATTATAAAATCAATGAAAAACAACTCACCTTTCAAAGACCACCAGTCACTTCACTGAGCCACAGTCATGGCATAATAACACATCCATACCTCAGCAGGGTCTGTCATGGTTTTGGGTCCCCTAGAAACATTTCAGTTGTGTTACGTGCAGATTTGCAAGTGTTGTGGCCAATTTGCTGCACGTTTCTTTAGTTGTTTGTGCTGTGACCAATTTGCCGCACGTTTCTTTAGTTGTTTGTGCTGTGACCAATTTGCCGCACGTTTCTTTAGTTGTTTGTGTTGTGACCAATTTGCTGCACGTTTCTTTAGTTGTTTGTGTTGTGACCAATTTGCTGCACGTTTCTTTAGTTGTTTGTGCTGTGACCAATTTGCCGCACGTTTCTTTAGTTGTTTGTGTTGTGGCCAATTTGCCGCACGTTTCTTTAGTTGTTTGTGTTGTGACCAATTTGCCACGCGTTTCTTTAGTTGCTTGTGCTGTGACCAATTTGCCCCATGTTTCTTTAGTTGTTTGTGCTGTGACCAATTTGCCACACGTTTCTTTAGTTGTTTGTGTTGTGACCAATTTGCCGCACGTTTCATTAGTTGCTTGTGCTGTGACCAATTTGCCCCATGTTTCTTTAGTTGTTTGTGTTGTGACCAATTTGCCACGTGTTTCTTTAGTTGCTTGTGCTGTGACCAATTTGTCGCATGTTTCTTTAGTTGTTTGTGTTGTGACCAATTTGCCACGCGTTTCTTTAGTTGCTTGTGCTGTGACCAATTTGCTGCACGTTTCTTTAGTTGTTTGTGTTGTGACCAATTTGCTGCACGTTTCTTTAGTTGTTTGTGCTGTGACCAATTTGCCGCATGTTTCTTTAGTTGTTTGTGTTGTGACCAATTTACCACGCGTTTCTTTAGTTGCTTGTGCTGTGACCAATTTGCTGCACGTTTCTTTAGTTGTTTGTGTTGTGGCCAATTTGCTGCACATTTCTTTACTTGTTTGTGTTGTGACCAACTTGCAACACGTGTGCTGTCAAATTGATAAAGATCATATTTTATTTGCTGAGTTTTTTGTAATTGCATGTGCTTTCTTAAATTGCAGCACGTTAAGCTCTAGGCCACTGTATGCATCAGATAAACAGCACAGCGACAGACATGAAGGAAGCAAATCTCACAAAGTTTGGGAGAAATACTACAATAAGAACTTTCCCAATGATTATTTGATGTATTTGTTGTGGAGTTAGTTCAAGCCTTTCTGCAACGAGTCACACACAATGACTTTATAAAGTTCACGCATAGACACACCTACACACCGCATTTAAATTTGTAATGTTATTGCACGACAAATGGTACAGGATACACATTAATATCCTCTGCTGTATGGATATCTGTTATGTTAATGTACAAAGTAAATCTGATTTAATTCCAGTTGCTTTGCGCAAGTCCTGTCTTGTTTAAATGATTATATGCGTTACTGCGCAGACATGTTAATACGTGTCTGTCAATCAATTTATTGAGCAGGAAAACCGCACTTATATGTCACGTTGCGGTGGGCCTCAAAATAAGACAAATTAAGATCCTATTTTAACATTAGAAAATTTAAAAAAGGCACTTATTGTCTCTATATCTCTCCAATATGACTGTGGGCACACCATAATAAACATGTCTTTTTGTCTTTGTAATGTCTTTTTTTTCAGTCAACTAGGATTCTCATCTACATTTAACAGCTGAAGCAGCTTACAAAAAAAAAAAAAAAACAGTTGCTTTAGATGTTACAGTATAATTCAAATGTCATCTTTTTCAGTTGTTCTGACTGGCCCTCTGTATAAATAATACACCTCATGAAGATGTCACAGCGCGGGCCAAGCACGTCATCTCAGAAGGTGGACAGAATGACAGGCCGCTGACATTAACCAACACGGCAGCCTGCACTGGGACTCTGCTTGTCAATGCGGTATTGCCCTCATATAACCGTAAGAGTGGCTTGTCTGTTTGACGCATGCACACCTCAAGTCTCTTTTACTGCTGTTTGTGCGTCCAGTGGGAGTCTCGGGCCCGGGGCTGCCAGAGCTGCTGAGTGTGTGCAGAGCCTATTAAGACGGTCTCCATTGTTAGAGAGACAGCAGCAGCTGGACGCCAGAGGTCTTATGGGATTGATGTGCAGGGGGCAGGCGATTAGAGGAACATTTCAACCTGTTGGGCAAGCCTGCACATATGAGCCTTTGCCTGGAGATGTGAGAGGAACAAGCAAGACAGGAAGAGATAGGGCAAGGGAAACTCCTTTTAGTGAAAATCTCTTACTTACAGCTGAGATGTGTGGTTTCTGTGCCTTTAGTGTCAGTGTGTCTACTGCAGTTTCATGCTGTTGGCTTTAGCAGATTGCATTAAAAAAAAAAAAAAAAAAAAAACCTAAATATGAACCAAATATTAATCTAAACATTTTAAAGTCATGGAGGTCATAGGTCTTTACTTTTTAGCAAAAATGTCATTTGTTTTTTGAGATCATTATCTATTATACATTGTTTTTATTATTAATCTTGGATTTGAAGAGTTTAATGTGAATGAGTGGCATTCTCACACCAGTAATAAATAATTTACAAAAAAGGGGTTAAAGCTTATTGTAATAACATATATATAGTTTCATATAGTCCCAATAAAAAAAAAGTTAAGTTAGTAGCATTATCAACAATTATATTTGCCTTTATTATTGGCCTGACCCTTCAAAAAGTACCCATGCCTAATTTAACAGATAAAATAAATAATTCTGTTACAATGTGAGAAACCAATTTTTAAAACATGTCTGTCCATATTAGATACACACAGACTGAAAAAAATTAGACCCATCTCCTTTCATTATAGAAAACGTAGCCAAAATGTAATTTGAAGCCAGATTCAGTGATCATGAGCTGGTTTTGCAGTATCGGTTTACCCAAAATGTCCACAGTTGCAAGCATTTTTAACAGCATGATCTAATTATTGGAGACAAAAACAGCTAATTTTTCTCATATGGATTTTTTAATAGTCTTTGTTGTGCAAACCTAAAAAGAGAATCATTACAAACAAAGACTATGTAGGAAAAACAGCAATAAAGCATTGCTAATGAAACAATTAAAATAAAAAAATGTAGAAATATGAAACTGTCAATGAAGTATTAAAGTGGTTGAATAGTAAATAGAAACAATATATTTCAGGGTTACACTTTATTTTGATGGTCCATATGTTGAATTTACGTTACATTGCATCTACATGCCAACTAATTCTCATTAGATATAGACTGTTAGGTTGGGGTCTCTATCTATCCATCCAGACATACATACATACCTAAGAAGCATATCATATTAACAGCGTTTAAATGATTGCCCAAATTAGGTCATATTTGCAGGTACTCTATGGTAGTGGGCGTGGCTAACTATATCTTTTTGCGCGTGTTTCCCAATAACGCTCTCTGATTGGTGGAATTGTCTTAAGATCATCCTCCTCAGTTTAGAAATTGTTTGATAAATTGCAGTTCTTGAACACATGATAATACAAAGTATCGTTAGATTTGGATTTATTTTTCAAGACCTGCTGCGCATACGATCAAGAGTTCAGGTGACGCTCTAAAGGTATATTTGGCTCTTTAACCAGTATAATTCAACTTGTTGGTCTAAGTCTATTTGAATTTATTTGATAATATATGTCAGAAAATTGTACATATAGGCTAATCTCATTATATATTGTACCCTACCTGTCTTTGACTAAACATATTAACCCGCCTAATCTGACTTCTTAATAATAAGTATTATGCGTGCATATGATTTCTGGTGTAATTTTGTTTACTGATTGCTTGCATCCTTTACTTTGATGGTCTTACCGCTTGCTTTTGGCGACCAGTAGGCTACCTTCTGATCTAAAATGTATTGATTTAATGTCACATTCATTTGAAAAAGTAAAAACACTGCTTGCCTAGAGGGCATTTTGACTGTGATGAAATGTTTATGGTTTTGCAGGGTTTAGAGGGTCAGTCATGGAAAGACAGAAGAGCAAAGGCGCCATCTGTTGGTCAAATTGGGCCTCACACAAGAGTGTTAAATATTTATGAGAAGGATCTGTATGGCATCCTGACAATGATCTTTTATGGTTAAGTACGGCAATAAAATTGTTTGAGTAGAGATTATTATTAGGATTTAGCTCGGTGAAGTCGGGTTTAAATCACGTATAGGCTAATGTCCTAATGCTCTGTATTTGCTTATTAGGATGGGGTTATTGCGTTTAAGGGACTTCGTACACAAACATAAATTCCCTCTCGTAAACCTCTCAACGCTCATCTGTAGTTTTAACAACAAACTATCTTCCTCACAGGCCACATTATGCTTTTATACTTTCCTTTGAAAGCCAGGCAGGACATTAATGTGTGCACAAATGTGTTTAAATAATTCAATTTATTAGTCTTCATTTGTCGGTACAGAAGTCAGTGCGAGAAAATAGCTAACTTTTTAAATGTTTAAGTGTTCCTATTCAAACATGGGTTGTAATCTTCAGAGTTCAATATGTCATCAATGTTATTGCGAAATTGTACTCTCAAAAAGGTACAAAAGATGTCATTGACATAGTAGGGTATGGACTTTTTCAAAAATAAACCTACCCGATTGTTTGTTCGTTTTTTAAAATGAGGGTCTATAACTGGCACGTTGGGTAGGCCTACGTATATATTCCCTAAAGTGTACATTTTGGTAGTCCTACCTTAAACAGTACAAACTATCTTTTTAAAAAGGCATAACAACAGTGACAGAGGTTGTATTTTTATATCTAAAAGCATAATGTGCGTTGACTCCATTTTATTGTCCAAAAATAATCACTCTGATTCACATTGCACACATTGCTCTTCTTCCATGTTCTCTTCACACAGTGAATCAAAGCGTTTGTGTCCAGAACTGAAACTGTGAATGGCCTCGGATACAGTGTAGCGAGTCCTGCCTTCAGCACAGGCCTCAATTTTTTTCAGACTTAGTTGGGACTGTAGGAAGAGGTGCAAGCAACTGTCTGACAGCAGAACCGCACTGTGAACCACCCTGGAAGAAGTAAACATTTTACTGATTAATCAAACCATAACCATTTCAGTTACTTTAGTTATTAGTGGATTGTTAAATAGACTTGTAAAATCTCATTTGTACCAAAAAGTTTGATTTTTATTTATTCATTCTTTTATCAGAAAAGTCTTACAAGATCATATGGAAAAACAAGCAAATGCTCAAGACATCAAAAGTGATTGTGAGCAGGGGCAGATTTAACCAATAAGCAAAGTAAGCAGCCACTTAGGGCCTCAGGAAATTTGAGGGGACCAACAAATACCAAGAAGTATAAATTATACAAATAGCATTGTTTTCTATCATATTTTGTATTGTGAGGGTCTTAGAATTTACATTTTACCATAATTATACAATCTATGCAAATTTGTCCCAATCATGGAGCAGTCCAGCAGTCAAGTCAGGTAGAGATTCAATTGTTTAAAAAATATTTATTATTTTCAATTTATTCATTTATTTTTTTTAGATGTGAGTTCACGTAAACAACACAAATCACTTAAAATGTAGAGATTTCATTGAGATAAAACATGAAAAAGGAGATTCCGTGATATAAAAAACCCTGCAAAATAAGTGAAGTTTATTTATAAACAAATTTCGAGAGGATCACGTGTTTATGATTGAACACGGCTGGTTCTGCTTTAACAATGTTTGATCCACCAATCAAACAAATCCTAACCCACTCTAAAGAGACAGGGTTTCTCACTACAGTCATCTTCGATTTGAAGAATCCCCCATTCCATCCCCACTCCTCCACCTTTCTCTTCATAAGGTGGCACGGTGGCCCAGTGATTAACACTGTTGCCTCACAGGAAGAAAGTCACCGGTTCTAGTTCTTTAACAGGCTGGCTGTCGTTTCTGTGTGAAGTTAGCTTGTTCTTTCCGTGCTTGCGTGGGTTGCCCCCGGGTTCTCTGGTTTCCTACAACATTCCAAAAACATGCACTACAAGTTCATTGATCAATCTAAATTTAGCACTACAGTCAAACTCCCATGCAGTAGCATATCTCTCCATAGCAATCCTTTTCTGTCATCAAGGGGGGAGTTCTCCAGAGATCAGCTACCTGAGCTCAGAGCTCCCCTTGCGCCCTGCAAACAGGAGGGAGCCCAGGGCTCAAGGACCTTTTGAGCTCAGGGCTCTTTATTGGGTAAGCATGCCAAACTTGTTTATAATCAATCATCAGCTAAGTGTGAATTCTTGAAATAAATAAAAATGAATAAAACTAAAAAGGGTGCATTTTAGGACTGTTGGTTCCATGGCTGGAACTGCTAAGGGCCCCAAAATCACTTAATCCACCCTTGATTGTGAGTCATGGTTTTGTTTTTATTTAATGTTTTGTGTGTGTGTGTGTGTGTGTGTGTGTGTGTGTGTGTGTGTGGTTATTCAGACACTTACGCTTCTAGGAATTTCCTTAACCCCTCCATACGGGCTCCAATTTCTTTTGCATTGTTGAGACTGAAGAAGGGGTTTTTTGGAGGAAGTTTAGGTATATGTGTTCTGCAATTCAAATACAAAAGGTTAAGTTTGAGTCAATGGAAATTGCCCAATGACAGAAATTTTAAAATGTCTACAGTACAGCTGCTTAACAATTAGCAGTGTTGATATTGTTAGCCAAAACTATTGAATATATGTTTGAGGATTATACTAAAAATTAAATAAAACAAATATAAAAATATTAGATGGAAAACCTAAATGTGCAAATCCTTACAAACTAACAAAAGTGTTGGCAAGTAATTGAAATAGACTAAGTAAACATAATGTTAAATATTAAAATAGTAATAAAATAACTCCGTAAAATTATTACTTGATTAAAAGTATCTATTATTTTTTTTAAAAAACTACATTGGAAATGTAATTCAACTATAACCAATGACTTCCACACACAAGGTCTGGGGATTTGTCTGTATTAATTTAATTTAAAAAAATCTATTAAATCATTAATATATAAAAATTATATATATATATAACATTTATTATAATTGATTTTTTTTCAAATTCATACATTCTCAATATATTCTTTCAAATTAAAAGTATAATAATATTAATAAAATAAGTATGCAGATACTCTCACATGTATTGAAGTCTTGCCTACATATGAATAACCATTAGTAATAAAAGATATAAATAGCAAGAGCAGATGCAACGGCTACATACATGAGCAAGGCATTTTCCTGTAGCTTTTTTCTTAACCACACAAACTCGCTGAATCTCCGCCGCACACAGGAGCTCTTCTTAGTGAACGCCAAGCTGTTTGTCTAAGCAAATACAAAATACAAATAACAACCAGGAAGCATCTGACTTTTGTTTTAACCATTTGCATACGACTGCACTTACATGTATACAAACTTCATAATCCATGAAGGCATGCCAGAAATCTTCCTTCTGGATGCGAGGATCCCTCACCCAAACGCCAGTGAATTCCTGCATAAGTCCAAGAATTATGGAAAAGAGCAAACGAATACACTCACTCACTAACTTTTATTGGACAGTGACACACAACAGCAAGCTTTGAGATAAAAAATGGGGAAGAATAAAGTAGGAAGTATTTTCATGAGACATTGGTCTTGTTGACCAACTGGGGCTGATTCATGATAACTGTAGACTTGGGAAAAACATCACAGCTCATTTTGTGCCTGTGACTGACAGCGGTGCTTCATTTTTACCAGCCACTAGAGACACAGCAGACTAGCTGCACCATAAAAATAAAAGGAGCAGGAAAAAGCAGCTGGAAAAAATGGGTCTCATAATCATAATGCCTGCGTGTTTAAAACAACCATAGCAGTACTTAAAGAGTTATTCATGTACCTGTAGTGGTTTCAAACCTCTTAAAATAAAAACAAAATGGCTATTATAAACTATATTTATGAGCATTATGATTTTTAAAAGAACAATCTACTAGGAACTGACTTTATTTTATAATATACCAACGATAATTAGAGTTATTTGATTTTAAAACACTTTTACTGATGACTGCAAATTTTCATGTTAATAAGAACGATCACAACACTTCTGAGGTAAGTCTATGTTTATTTAAAGCACCTAGAGATTTAATGTTACAGTGATCTTTACAGAAAAAAGGAACTTAGAAAAGTGAAACAGCAAGACAAAGGACTTCAGCAAAACCTCAGCCTACAGTAAATGGCCTAATCATACTGCTGTTATGAAAGTGAAACTGACCAAAAATAAAAATGTCACAAATAAAGTGTGATTGTACAGGCTACATTCTAGAATTAGTTTTGTGCAAATCTACCGATTTATGAGTCACAATACTCGCTCACAGATCAAAGGATTTATCACAGTATAACTTTTAAAATGGCCTGTTTACACCAAGAACAAAACTATAATGATGCACATAAATGCTGGTTCAGGAAATATTTTGCCCATAAGGATTTGTTAAAAGGCTTTAAAGCATTAGAAGACACGAAACGCACCAACCAGATATGAGGTGAATTACAATATTTAAAACTTTGATTTGAAGCAAAAAATTTCCATGAAAATTGGAAAGTGTGGATTCAAAAAAGAAAAGTCACAATACCATGAAGTATTGCAAATGGCTCAACTGAAGAAATGCAAAGGACAAGGACATTTAAATTTTTGGTTTTAAATATATTCAGAGAGAAACTCACAAAAATGTAATCCACAGTGCTTTATGAGTGAGCAGGGCTAAAGATTTAACATCAAATCTTTGATTTGTGACATTTTCTGCACAGTGTTATGAGTATCCGTCTGTTATTACAAAAAAAGCTAAACGGTGTAATCTATTTTAATGATCTATGCTAAGCTAAGCTAAGCTAAAAGTGCTTCCATGAGGCTATTTTCAAAAAACTTGAAGTGTTCCTTTAAAGCAGATGCTTAGCTGTTTATTGTTACAATACAGTTTTAAAAACTATTCCAAAAACATAATCTGTTAAGTTATTATTAAAAAACAAAAAACATCTTTTGTTTGCAGAATCTGACTGCTAAGTTATATTATTACATGGCTCTCCTAATCTCCGGGTCTAATAAGAGCATTTTTAGCATTGCTTAGCTTAGATCATAGAGTCAGATTAGGCAGCTCACTCAAATGTTTTTAGATTTTAGCAAAATAGCAACATTTCATTTTTCGTTGGTTCTTCGGCAAGAAGAGTTAAGCTTTAAATAGAAAAAATTCAAAACTCTTTTTAAGAAATAAGCTAATGGTCTGATCCATTTCAGTGATCTATGCTAAGCTAAACTAAAAGTGCTTCCAACAGTTTACTTTAAGGGAATTGTAAAATTAGTCTATTTTCAAAAAACTTGTAGTATTGCTTTAAAGCAGCTGTACTTGTCTGTTTTTTGTTTAACTACCATTTTAAAAGTGATTTCAAAAACTTAACGTGTCATATTTTTGGTGTGAACTAAAGATAAACAATTAAAAACAATCTCTATATGAACTGTTATTCTTATAGTCGTTCTTGGTGTGAATAGGCCATAAGTGCTTAACAGTGAGTTTACAGCACAGATAGTACTAGTCAAACAGTTCCTCTCTAACAGGTACTGTACCATCTGTCATCACTTCCTATGTTAAATCACAGTTCAGATCATAACAATGGAGGACAGAATGATGGACATCATAAACGAGTTCTCAAACAACAGACCAAGAAATACGACAACATTGGACTGATTAATAAACCACTTGTGTGGATTTGTACAAACAGAACACTACAGTAGGTTCTAATACTCCAGTCACATTTCTACAGGTAAGTGTGTTAGGAAGAGCTTCACATTAGAGTGTGGCTTTGCACACTTTATTACACGGTACAGTAAACGGACAGTAAACTTAAGCCACAGTGTTTGTGTGTTTAAAGCTGCCAGGAGGTACAGTAGTATCCACTGCTACATATTTTCTCTTTCACTGCTCGTCGTCTCCATGCCAGGTCAGCTTGTCCTCGTAAAAGCGGATTACCATCTGGGGCCACCTTTTACTGGCCTCCACGGCTGCTAGTAAAGCTACCTCATCCGTGTTTTTCCTGAGATTAAATAAACAATTAATGATCAGTGTTAATGGAGAAATACAGGTAATTAAAAGGACATAATTATCAACTGCAGTGGTTGATTGGTGGCAACAGTATTGTAAACTACTCCATCTTTTTTGCTGCGATGGCATGTTTTATCTTCTGCTACAATTGTTTGTTAAAGCAGAACACAGACATGTAAGGAAAGGAATTCCTTGACACAGATTTTAAAACAGTTTTACCTAAAATTATCTAAAACTAATTAACTTTTCTTTTATAATTTAACAAATATTTGATGACAAGTATATAGAAAACGATAATAATTAATATAATATATAATATGAAAGATAAACTTTAACTCAAACCAGTAAAAAAAGCTTAAAAATGAATAGAATTATTGAATTTATAGTTTTCATTCGCCTGTTTATTGACCACGATTCTGGATTGCCCATATACAGTATATCTGTTCCTGTGTTGAATGTTGCCTGCCTGACCATTCTATATAAAATAAACCTGCATTTGGATCCTCAACCCCGTTGTCAGCATCCCTTCATATAACAGATAAAGAAGACTAAGCAACTAGTCTTAGTTTATTAGTGTGTGTTTTTCTGTGGTGCTTTTAAAGCCCATGTAATCAGTTCTTAACAGCTTCAGCTGTGTGTGACAGATTCGTAGTGAAGGTAAATGATTCCCAGCAATCTACAAGCCTGGATTACTGGTGATTGTGACAAACACATTGGCAAAAGATTAAATTACGAAAATGAAAAATTACATTTAAATAATTTTTTTATACAAATAAAAGCTCACTTGAAATATTAAAATTTAATTATTAAACTTGTTAAAAGGATTACAAATATCAGGATTTCTGAGGGTTTTATCAAGTCAAATTTAAGATGAAGAATGAAATTCCTGAGTTATATAGGGCTAGATGCTCAGGGTATTTTAAAAGCCTGGCAGGAAAAAAAAAAAAAGTAATTTCTTAGCCGCATATTTTAAATAATGTATCACAACAAGTAGACCTTAGTTGTATACATATATTTTTGTTTAGCATAACTTAAAACAACTTAAAAACTCTTTAAAAATGAATTGTTTGCACAACAGACTACAGACCAACATTAATAGTTATAAGTAGTTTTGCTGAAAGTTTAATTGAGATGTGTTGTTGATGATTAGATGTGTTTTTGGATCAATTGGTTAGCTTTACATAAAGGAACATTAGGACCCGTTTAACATAATTTAAGACCTACAAGACAATATTACAGTAAATTTAAAATGTTTAAGGCCTAAAATTGTGTTTTTGAAATTTAAGACCTTTTAAGACTTCGTGGACAGCACCCTGAATACATATTTAATACAAAATTACAACTGTACAGAAATAACTCATTAGTGTGAATATTCTGTCATGCTATTACAATATTAAAGTGACATATTACAGATTTGTTCAATATTTCAGTTTTTAATATTTATAGTATTGGACTTTTTTAAAGAATAATATATTATTACATATTTGTTATATATCATTACAAGTGATATATGAAAATTATATATTATTAAAGATTTGTTAAATATTTTAGTTTTTTATTTATTTTTAATTTTTTTATTATTGTTTTTTTTATTCCAGTTCAGTTGTAACTAAGTTTCCATTATTTATTCATTCATTTATTCATTTTCTGTTGGCTCAGTCCCATTATTAATCTGGGGTCGCCACAACGGAATGAACCGCCAACTTATCCAGCACGTTTCCCTTCCTGCCGCAACCCATCTCTGGGAAAGTTTCCATTATTTACTGCTTTAGAAATAAAAGACTACATATTTAAAGAATAAAATTCTTTTAACAACACTTAAGATTGTGGTAACCATCAATTTATGTCAAACTTTGCTTTGGTAACTAGCTAAAATAAAATAAGGTTAACACTTTATTTTAAGGTGTCCTTATTGCGCATGTTCCATGTAGTTAGCTAATGATTACAATTGATTATGCATAATTATATGCATTATATGCAAACTTAACAACTATTCTAACCTTAACCATATAGTAAGTTATTAATTAATATGATTGTCTTCAGAAACTTTTCTGTTGTGCTGGTTGAAAGTCTCTTCACATTACGATAATAATGATTAAAGTTCTGGCTAATCTGTAAGACAAAAAAATGTTTATCCAATCAAATTGTTCAGGCCTAAAAATATAATAGCCAGTCTAAACTGCAAGTCAGTTATGTGCAACTTTTTGGTCCAGACGAAACCAAACACAAGCCAAAGCAAGGCGACAACACAGTTGGGTTTTGTTGGTGCTAGAGACTTTCGACGTTTAGACTTTAATGGTATAAATTCATGATTCAACACATGACTAAGGTTCGAAATAATGTTCCTTGCTATATAATTTCTGAAAAGGCTTTCCTATATCTTTGAGCATATCTAATCTGGCTCATCGACCTTGGAAAAAATGTATTTCTGTTTTTAGGACTCATTTTTTCTGACATTTCATAAGTTGATTAACAAAACATGAATAAATAGTCTTCTGCCTACTAATTTATGAAAAACTAGCATCCAGGCAACAGAGTGGAGAAGTCATGCTCACAAATGCTTTAACAGTCCAGTACCATTTGGCATGGTTGTCTAACCATGCCTAGAATTCTGAGCCAAGAACAGTATGCATTAGTGCCATGCTGTACCAGGCTCAGATGGAAACACAACTGGCATGATAGTGTCAAAGTATATCATTCATGTAATCTGTAATTTGGGTACCCCACAGGCCTGTCAACTAGGCTGACATTGGACAAAATGCTCGTCTTCAAATCCCTCCAAACGTCAGCAAAGCCAAGCATACTAACATCATGGAAATTGTTGTGTGCAAGAAATATTATTACACACTGACAGGTCTTGCTTTCTACACAATCAATAACAAGCTAGCTTTCCTTCTGTTTTTCAAAAGGTTTTTGAGTTTGGAATTGTTGTGTCAGAAAGTACTATATTTTTCTCACTGGTGAATGACTCATGATGTAGTGTTGCAATGTTGTCTATTGTCATCTATTTGATGTGCGTTCATGACTGTCAAGAGAAAAGTGTTTGGACTTTGGACAGCAGTTTTTATGTAGAGAGGGATGCACGTTTTTAATGCTATCAGGCTAAGTTTAGCATTCTCCCAGATCTCCTATTGCACTTTTAAATTAATATCTATGCTGTAATAAGAACACCATAAAAAAACTGTAAACAAAATAAATAAGTAAATTTTAAAAAATAATTAATTGTTTACACATGATTTACTATAAACAGTATTTGTGTGTGATACACATGGTATTGGAAACAATCAAAACAGTAATAAATGAATTGATATATGAGTTATAGAATTATTACCACTTGATAAGAAACATGAGCTCTCCTTGCTGGTCTGTGCAGCCGATGATGCAGTCTGGCTCAGGGTGGCCGGGTTGGCCTACTGGGATCTCAGCGTTGTGTTCTTCAACCTCCTCATTAGTCCTTTCAATGAGCTCCTCCTGAGGCTGCTGGTGAGCCTGCATGATTCCACACAGAGAAATGAACTTCAGAAAACTTGAGAAGAGAGATGAATTATAAATCACATGGCAAGAGTAATAAACCTGCAGCTTTTGGACAGGCTCTGGAGTAATAAAACTCTACACTACTGTAACTATTTTCAGTCCCGCATGTGAAAGCTCCACTCTTCTGCTTTTTGGCTCCACCTTCCTCTGACAATCCTGAAAACCTTGATTAGCTGGTTTAGGTGTGTTTAATAAGAGATGGAACATAACTCTGTGGTAAGTTGGGCTGCATCAGAAGTTACATAACTATAATTATATTGTGACAAAAAATTCACAGCACTAATTAAAAAAAGGAACCAACTTTTAAGTAATTCTGTAACTGTGTTTACACCACAGAACAGCATATGTGAATGGCAGTAAAGTGGCACAGCTTGTGCTTGAAGGTCAACGTGGCAATTGCGCCCCAAGGGCATTCATACTACATGCATTCATACTATTTAGGACATGCATTTTTGGCCATACTAAATAAGTCTAAACTAGATGTTAAAGTTTCAGGACAAACATTATGGTGGCCTGAGAAAGCCTGTTGAAGGTAGTTTATTTAGTTTAAAAAACTATCAAGTCTGTAAAGTTGGCTAAAAAAATATTTAAGATCTCTGCAGTCAACAATGTATCCACTTTAAAGACTGAAGCAAGCCAGTAAAAAGCTTAAAAAGTTAATCCCTGTGTCTGTGGTTGATAATAGCAAGATGCAAGCATGAATTAGCATGCTTGAAGGTCAATATGGCAATTGTGCTCCAAGGGCATCCATACTACATACATTCATACTATTTAGGACATACATTTTTGGCCATACTAAATTAGTCTAAATAATCGTTATTATAAATCCATTTAGAGGTGGTGCAGTGGGTAACCCCGGCTGGGTCTGTGTGGAGTTTGCTTGTTCTCCCTGTTTCTCTTGGTGCTCTGGTTTCCCCCACAGTCTGAAGACATGCTATATAGGTGAATTAGGAAGGCTAAATTGTTCATAGTGTGTAGGAATGAGTGTATGGGGGTTTCCCAGCTGGAAGGACCTCCAATGCTTAAAACATATGCTGGATAATTTGGCGGTTCATGGCGACCCCTGATAAATAAAGAGACTAAGCCGAAAAGAAAATTAATGCATGAATAATTCCATTTACTGCTGAAGTTGGATTAGATGTTGAATCTAGGAGTTTATCCAGTGTTCCAGTCCACACATAGGTAAATTAAGATGGGCTGGTGTAATTTTTAGCAAAACCATTCAACACAAACATTTAAATACTGTTAAAAAGCAGAATCAATTCTAAAGACAGAGTTCATTAAACCCGTTTCTCAATATGTGTTTGTACTGGTGAAACATCATTAGTTATTGCCCAATCAGGAGTTCACATCTAGCCAATTACAGTTCAAATCCCTGTGTGCTGGCTCCGCCCGATTTTATCAGGAATACATGAGGAAATTACTTCTTAACTTATTATGGGCAGGAGGTACCCTAGGATACATGTTGATCCAACCAACTAACATCAATGGCAGAAAAGAGAAAAAAATACTACCTTTACTTGGTCACAAAATGTAGTTGTAAGATTTTTCCAAGTAGGATTGCAGTTTAATTTTAAATCTGGTTTATTTATAAAGATAGTGCCTATTAAAATTTTTCTAAGATGTGACTTTCAGGCAGTGTTCTCAAACCTTACTAAGAGCAGTGTTACGGCTTAACAGTTAAGGCCAGTGGTATTATAAAGTACACTGCTGTTCCATTTGAAGAACTGCCAGACTTGGGTTCTATGGTCCTCAAGAGTTTGTAATCTTGACTACCAAGGATGCAAGTCTGTGCTCTACGGTGTTGGCATGCAGTAATGTTTTGAGACACAGACAAACAAAAATGCTAATAAATAATGTAACACGACATATTGGGTTTTTGAAATCTGAATTTTCAGTACAAATGTACCTAGTACTACAAGTACCTACTCAAGCAAGTATGCAACTTCAGATGCTGCCATCGTTTGGTCACATTAAACCAACAGTTATTCATGGTAAGCCACAACACTTAGCAGACTTTAACTAGTACAAATGATTTAATTGTGAAACACTGCTGCACCACCTGTGCATTAATACTTAAAGGGCTGAAAGCTACAGTTTTAGCATTACGTGTGCAAATGCATAATAGACTGGGGTCCTACCATCCTTAAGAGTTCATATTCGTAGCCTGAACTATCAAGGACGCAAGTCTGAGCTTTGCGTAGTTGGTATTCAGTAATATTTTGAGACAGACAAACAAAAATGCTAATAAATGATGAAACATGAATGTTCCACCTGTGTTGATGGACTATTGGGTTCTGAAATCAGCAATGCTGTGGTTCATCTGACTTGAACGAATGTTCTAGTAAAAATCTGAATTGTCAGTACAAATGTAATGTACTAAAAGTACCCACTCTAGCAAGTATGCAACTTCAGATGCAGCAATGGTGTTCCAAGAGGATTAGTCACATTAAACCATAGCCACACTTTTTTAGCATATTTTAACTAGTGCAATTCATTTAATTGTGAAACACTGCTGCACCTGTGCCTTAATAAAGACTGAAAGCGACAGTGATGGCTTCACATGTAGAACTGCATAGTATACAAAAGCACCAACCATATCAGCAGCCAACTCTGATAACTCTTCCTTAGGCTGAACTTCGTGATCTAGAGATTGACACTCCTCTTGTTCCGTTTCCTGTCCCAATACAGTTAGGTTTCTGAGATACTCTTCTATCAGCTCAGGACAATCCAGGTTATCCTCTGGCTCCCAGGTATTCTCTGCACTGGAAAAAAACAACAAAAAAGTATGACAGATCTGTCATAAACAGGCAGATATTTATAATATAAATAATTTAAAAACCTGACACACAGACAGCACTGTTCCATAAACTCACTCTGTAAATCCTTTCCACTTCAGATAATATTCAACCTTTCCGTTGTTGACTCTTCTGCGAATTATTTTTTCCACTGCAAACTCCTGAACAACTGTCGTCTCTTCTGCTTTCCTGTTTTTTACATTCTGTTTTTTCCTCATGGTTTCCTGCAACAACACAATACCTAATATTTGCAAAGGTTGAAATATTTAAAAAAATGAAGCATCACCAAAAGAGTAAGGTTAAAAATGTAGATTTTAATTTTTATATTATGTAAACAAATTCTACAATACTAGTAAAACTGGTCCATGACAAGAGTTTAATTTCTGATATTCTAAGTAAAAAAACATTTTAATTTACTACAAAAACTGCTCAGCAACAAAGATTAATGTTTGATAATGCAGTAAAAATGTCAATATACTGTGAAACTCTAGAGCAAAAATTTTATCACTTTAGCAGGTAAAATTGTAAAACCATATTCCTCGTTGCTGACCAGTAAACCACATTCCTCGTTTACACTATGTATCAAGCACATGACGTGAAAAATACCAGGAATTCCTCTCATAAACACTGCCAACAATACGTAGCTGCTAGAGCAGTGAAGTCACCGCTTATATGTATGACGTATCATTTCCTACAACCTAAACTTTCCCAATCACAGACCAAGCAAAGTAATATCATGAATGACGCTTGTAATCAATGTTATTGTTTATGCGCCACTGATATGGATTTGGTAAGTGCGCGCGCCCACCTGCCGTTGCCCGCAGTTCACGCGCTATTCGTTTATTTCCTCAGCTGTTGATTAATGCTCGAACAAATGATCGCTCTGTACAAACAACGCGGTTCATTTAGACGGAAGATCACAACGCAGATCACTTAATCTAGCATCGTTAACTATGTCGCCTTCGCGATCATTGCGTTACTGTTGTGTTTACATAACTTTTCATGAATGAGTCAAATTAAACATGGCCGATTGGGAGAAGGGGAGGAAGTGGTTTCAAAGGGAAGAGGTCAGTTCAGGAAAGCCGGGGGAGGAATCCTTAAAGGCGCATCCCGGGAGTGAGAACTGGCTGAATCTCTCGGAACGCTATAGTTAGACGTTTTTAAGGGTGGGTTAAATCTGACCTTCGATTTTTTTATTACAAAACGCTGTTGGACAGTTAGCCTCGGCAGCTTATAATTTATGTGTATTTTTCCACATATTGACCGTATAGTTGCCGTCAATGTCGCTTTTTTGTAAGTTGAAATGGAAATTAGTTTGTATTACTAAAACAAAAACGTATAGCTTCTCGGTCTGGTTAAGATGTTGATACAAATACAAAAGCTACATGTTGTGGTAACGTCACACATGTAATATTGCGGAAGGACACTGGAGGGAGCATGCGCCACTCATTGTCTATAAACCACCCAGAAGCTCGAGTTATGTGATTCAGATGTTTAATTACATTTAATTATTATTTTTATTTACAAACAGATTGTATAATCCAACAGATATCACAAAATTCTGTCCTCATTTGTATAAAATCCTCTATCTCATAAATAGTAATAAATAATAATAATAATTATAAATTGATTTCTCTTTATTTCTATATTAAACATTTTGTTCACTTATATAAAAACAATAATTTGTCTAATATCTATTTTCAGTTTCAATAAAATAGCACGCATTTACGTCACTAACTGTAAATCATTGGTCATTATAGATCAGTGCTGAAAATTATTAATAATACTTTAATAATACAATATTTTTTTTGGTGATTTGCATCAAGGACTGCTTCTGAAAAGTGTCAGTATTGGTATTTGAGCGTGTTTACGGTGAAAACACGGAGCTCTTTACTTTAGGAGGCTTTAGAGAAACTGACCATTCATTTCTGTTTCAATCTAAGCTCCTCCTATTCTCGAAGTGATTGACAGTCGTCCGCCATCCTATCAAAAAGAAGCTTGAATCGGATTGGTTCAGTGGTTCACCCAATTGTATTCAAGCTATAATAAAAAAATCTTTATACCACAACAAAAGTTTCTTCTTATATTTTAAAGCCAGGGAAGAGCATTCTTTCCCTTAATATATGTAGCACTTGTTTTACCAAAATGACTTGATAGAAGATATGAAATTTGAACTTTTAATATTATTTTTTGTCAAACTTCTGCTACTTTGTAGTGAGTCCACAAGAGGTCGCTATTATCCACCCATAAATCTCTTTTTTTCATTTTCAGCGTTTGTTTTGTTCCTCATAAAATGTTTTATTTTTACGAGATAACTTGTAACATTTTTATGTCGTTTGTTAACGCAACGTTTAGTATTTCCTAAATTTAGTTCATAACATCTTTATTAACTTTATAACGTATTCGACATTGTGTGACAGTTTCTCAAGTGTTTACGAGGTTGAGCAAAGTTAAAGCATTTTATTTACTTGCTTATTTAATTACCAGATATTTATTCTGCTCATAGTTGTAGTGGACTTAGCACAGTAATGGGTTATATATTATATAGTTGTAGAGAACTTAGCACAGTAATGGGTTATTTGTTTGTATTCTCTGCAAAAAAAAAAAACATCATAAACTAGCCTAAACTGGTTTTAGCTGGTTGACAAGCCTGGTTTTAGGTTTTTATTTTATTTTTTTGGCCATTTCCAGGCTGGTTTTCAGCCATTTCCAACCTGGTTTTAGCTGATCAGGCTGGAAAATGGTCAGCTAAAACCAACTTGACCAGCCTGGTTTAAGCTGGTTTTTGCTGGGCACCCAGCCTGGCTAGGCTGGTCAGGCTAGTTTTAGCTGGTCATCTCTTAGCCTGAACAGCTGAAACCAGGCTGGAAATGGTCAAAATCCCTCCTAAACCAGGCTGGTTGACCAGCTAAAACCAGCCAACCAGCCTTGGCTGGTTTAAACAGTTTTTTTTTTTTCAGCTTTTTTTTTTTTTTTAGCACAGTAATCGGTTTTATAATAACATAGTTGTAGAGAACCTAGCACAGTTATGGGTTATTTGTTTATATTAGCATAGTTGAAATTTCTATAGCTGCAGTGGTAATACAACTTTGGTAATACAAACAAATAACTCAAGTTCCCTACAACTATGTTAAATTTAGCCTACTAAACTTTACTATAGTTTGTTTTACAGTTTACAAGTTCAATATAGAATAGTAATATTACTGTATGCTGCACAATTAGTTTAAAATGTGTTGTAAATACTGTAGTATATTCTGGGGGTGACTCGGTCCGAGGGTGACCTGCAGATTTTAGCTTCAATCCCAATTAAACACACCTGAACCAGCTGATTAAGCTCTTTACGAGAAACTTCTAGGCAGGTGTGTTGAGGCAAATCGGAGCTAAACTCTGCAGGACACTGGCCCTCCAGGACCAAGTTTGGGCACCCCTGGCATATACAGTATGATATTGTACAAAAACACTATAGTATGTATATAGTATTTTTTGTTCATGAAGGCTCTTACACCTCAAATGGAGCCAAATTAATCTGCAGCTTAACCTGTAAGTGAAATATATAAAACATTTATTTTGATTTATGGATTCAGAATATATCTGTTGCAATCTATTCTGCCTGTTTTATTTTTCTTCACTTTGAACAAAAACTATCCCCTCTGTACATTCCATGTGTAGGAGGAGCTCAGTTATTCAGCGAGTGGTTGGGGTCCATAATGGCTGACAGATGGGCCATAGAATGAGACTTTAGTGTTCAAGTGAAATCACAAACCCCCCCTTCTCTCTCTTTTTTCTCTCTCTCTCTTCTGCATAATCCAGTCCTCCAGTCTGCACTCCATCTCCAGCAGTGACAGTCCTGAGTGCCCCGTATATGTGAATACGTCCTTTAATGCAGCCATGGCTCCTGTCAGTGTAGAAACGTGTCCAGATGGAGGAGCCCCGCTGTGTGCAGGCCTGGCCAGCGCTTGAGGGGTGAGGAGAGCTGATGTGTGGGGTGGGGATCCGGTCTAACTGGATTCTATCTCAGCGTGAGTTTTGCCGAGTTTTGGCACGCCACCATCCCTCAGCTCAGGTTACAGGTACGCTCGTGCCGGCCGTGTCAGACATGTTGTTTTTTTGTGGCTTGTCAACCCCCTGAACCCCGAACAGATTAGTTTGAGTTCAATTTAATCAAAGTGTTCTGTAGCGCTTTAATTCATCAAGCAGTTTTTGAAAAGGTCAGAAAGGAATCCGAACGGCTGACAGTAAATATGATCCTTTTCGTCTGTGCATTTTGTGGCTGACAATAAGCAGATTTTACTTTCTCTTAGTTTTTTAAATAATTATAGTCCTGAGATTTTAACCTGTTGGACAGAGGAGAAAAATTATATTTTTAAAATTATATTATTAGTTACAGGCTCACTCAATTTATTGCCACTAAATAAATCATAGATTTAACATCATTCCCACCATTCAAATTTACAAATAAAATGAACGCTCGATTCAAGTAATATATATATATATATATATTATTATTATTTCAGATTTTAATCCAACGTACTAAAGAATAGCGAATATTTGCAAAGAAAGCTTAATTTGCACTTATTTTTATTCACATTTTGTAAACCAACATTTTAATTTACATAAAATTCCTTAACACAGGAATAAAGCAATTTTCACCACATTTATTGAACAAATAATAACCTGTTAATTTTGACTCACTCTAATATTGGCACAAACAAAACCAGACATTTTTCTTCACCAGAGGATTCTCTCTAATTGTTTTTGTCTATAATTTTAACTAAATTTTCCTTTTTCAAAGTTTATTTGACATTTATTATTATTTTAAGTTGGTCAACAAGTTTTGCTGACCACCTGCATCCAATTTAATGACAATTTATTACAGTAAAAAATCTTTAATATTTAAAATAACAATTATTTGTACTTTACTGACTCACACTTTTTCTTACATTCCCTCTGTTAGTTTACTCCTTTTATTTACTTAATCTCTTTTTTATGCGTTTGAACAAGTCTTAAATTCAGCTTTTTGATTTCAATCTACTTCATTGTGGATCAACACACATCAAATTTCGCCACAGATGAATCGAAGAGTGGATTGAGTCAGGGGATCTCAGTGAAAGCTCCTCGCAGTCTTTCCCAGCAGTGTGTTTGTCAAAACTGTGGGTTTTGTATGTTTTACCTGTTATATCACGCTCACCCATCGCACTCTGCCTCTCCATATCAGTGCTCAGATCACTATTATCAGCAAAGTGTCGGCCAAACTCAGAGCAGTCATCTGTCATTCTCTGTCTTTTGCTTTGAAAAGCCCAAACCTGACACCGGCTGACAGCCTCTGTTGTTTACCCAACTAGAGGGACACGGGCGATTGTTCAGAGAACATGACACGGCATACTGGGCGGCAATATGGCGGACGGCTGGGCCCCCTCATCAGCCGGCTCTCAGCACCTCCATCAAGTCTCAAAGCCCAACAGAGTATCAGATTCACGGCCCCATATTTAAGCAATCTGAGGTTCACATGATGATTTGGGTGAGGGACTGGGGAATTGAGGCTGGGAATTGAAACTGACGTTCTGCTGGGGGAGAAACGAAGGAGTTGAGGAAAGACCACCTGGGTAACCTTTCATAGCGCTGTCCTCTGGTGCCAAAACACCCTGGAATAATATTCTCCCTCGCGCTCTGTTTCACAGGCTTGTGCTGAATGTTAAAACAGTGCCAAAACTTTTGAGTTTTAGTAGTTGCAATGGGCTGATTCACCATAATCATAATGTTTCTGTAACATTAGTTTAATATCCATTTGCTTTTAACTTTTTGCAGTTAACAAATTCCCCAAAAATTAAATTTTTATGAGAATGCAAAAACATTGACAATTATAATAAGAGCTAAAAGAAAAAGTTTTCTAATTAAGTAATAATTTTTGTCCTGTAACATTAAACAAACATTAGTTTAATGTTGCCTTGTCTTTATGTATATGTATATATATATATATATATATATATATATATATATATATATATATATATATATATATATATATATATATATATATATATATATATAATTTTTTTTC